ATTGGAATTTCGTAGAGCTTGCGGCCTACACTTGTTGTGTTCCCTTGTCTGCAAACCATCCAATGACTCAATCATTGCTGTCCTCTCCGCCTTTCCACACCCATCCCACCCACAGTTCCAGCGGTTCTGCTCGCTGCTGAACCCACAAGTTGCCGGCATGCTCGGCAGTCGTTTCCGACTAGCGCGGGACATGTTGACGCATGGGAATGCTGCACGCGAGTGGCTGCAGCAGGAGGTGGTTGGAGACGGGGCAGCAGGGAAGGTTTCCTTCACGACTGACATCTGGACCAGCCCCAGCAAGCAAGCCTTCATGGCGGTCACCGGCCATTACATCACCTCGGACTTCAAGTTGCGCCAGGCAACGTTCGAGTTTGAGCAGCTGCATGGGTCCCACACAGGAGATCTCATTGCTGATTTGTTCGAGAGGGTACTCATCGACTGGCAGCTGCTAGACCAAGTCTTCGGCGTGACGACAGACAACGCCGAGAACAATGCCAAGGCCTTCAAGATCCTGGCGGGCGACAAGACATACCCGAGGGCCCGCACCACCAATGCAATCCTGCAGAAGAACATGCACTTCAGGTAATGTGTTAGAAAGAGAGCTCCTTGCATGCGCTTCCACTCTATCTCGTGCCTATTAATTGCGAGCTTATGTCATGCAAATATGACCCTGACTGAACCCGTGATCGCTCGGCCCTTGCCACATTCCCACCCATTCCCGCCATTCTTGCCAAATACCGCCTGTCCCCCCCATTCCCACAGGTGCCTTGCGCACATCTTGAACCTGGCGGTTCAACGGGCATTAGCAGTGGGCGGTCGCGGCCGAGCCGCTGAAGCGTCTGAGGGACCTCGCTACGCATGTTGGGTGGTCTGTCACGCGCTCGGAGCGTTTCGAGGAGGACCAGCTTCGAGTTGCGGACGGCCCAGGCGTGGGGGTGCTGCGACTCATGACTGACACACCCACTCGTTGGGGCTCCACCTATGACATGCTGAGGCGTGCTATCGACCTCAAGACGGCCCTCATGGTGTACTTGTCGCGCCGGAGGTAAGCATGACATGGCGCATTACATGGCATGGCGCATGGCATGGCATGGCACATGGCATGGCATGGCACATGACATGGCATGGCATGGCGCATGGCATGGCATGGCACATGGCATGGCACATGACATGACATGGCATGGCATGGCATGGCATGACGCATGGCATGGCACATGACATGACATGGCATGGCATGGCGCATGGCATGGCATGTCGCATGGCATGGCATGTCACATGGCATGGCATGGCACATGGCATGGCATGGCGCATGGCATGGCATGTCACATGGCATGGCATGGCACATGGCATGGCATGGCGCATGGCATGGCATGGCACATGGCATGGCATGTCACATGGCATGGCATGACATGGCATGGCATGGCATGGCATGACATGGCATGGCATGGCATGGCATGGCATGGCATGGCATGGCATGGCATGGCGCATCGCATGGCGCATGGCATGGCATGGCACATGGCATGGCACATGACATGACATGGCGCATGGCATGGCATGGCGCATGGCATGGCATGGCACATGGCATGGCATGGCGCATGGCATGACATGGCATGGCATGGCATGGCATGGCGCATCGCATGGCGCATGGCATGGCATGACGCATGGCATGGCACATGACATGACATGGCGCATGGCATGGCACATGGCATGGCATGGCGCATGGCATGGCATGTCACATGGCATGGCATGGCACATGGCATGGCATGGCGCATGGCATGGCATGGCACATGGCATGGCATGGCGCATGGCATGGCATGACATGGCATGGCATGGCATGGCATGACGCATCGCATGGCGCATGGCATGGCATGGCACATGGCATGGCACATGACATGACATGGCATGGCATGGTATGGCGCATGGCATGGCATGGCATGGCGCATGGCATGGCATGCATGGCATGACACATGGCTAATGGCATGCCAAAAAGGCATGCCCTCACATCTCACTCTGTCCTTCCTCTCCTATTTCCCCCCCCCCTGTCCCGTGTCCACCCCGCTGAACCCTCCAGCCCGGAAGCTCCTCCAAGAAAGCAGGCAGAATCCCATAGCAAGTACCACCTGAGGGACGACCATTGGGAGACCCTTGTGGAGGTGGCAGCTTTTCTTAAGTCGTTCAACTCCCTCACCACAGCGGCTGAGGGATCGCTGTATCCAACAGCTGCCGCGGTAGTCCCTCAGTACAACCTGCTCATCGACAACCTCGAGACGATGTACCACAGCAAGAAGACCACGCCTGTGATTAAAGACATGGCATGGGAGGCGCTGGAGGTCCTGAAGAAGTACGAGTACGGGGTGGCGAAGGAGCTGGCAGTGGCCACCATGCTCGACCCCCGCTACAAGCACTACTTTAGGCTTCCGCGGTGGGAGGCAGAGAACGAGCAGCTGGCCACCGACACTGCAGGCACGGCCAGAGTGGTCCCTGTGCTGGACGAGGAGAGGGTGGCGAAGCTGGTTTCGGAAGCGTCTCGGCAGGTACTTGGCTAAGCTGCAGGGCGGTGGGGAGACAGAGGGGACGGAGGGGACCAGCAGACCTACAGCGGTTCATGTCGAGTGTGGCGCCGGGGGCGAGGGCGGCAGTTCGGTTGTGGGAGGGGGGGATGATCTGGTGGACGAGCTGTTCGCCAGGATGGACAAGCAGGCGGCATCGGCGGGGGGTCAAGGCACCCGATGAGCTGGAGAGGTACCTAGCGGAGCCCCGGCTTAAGGTTGGCTGCCCCCTAAAATTCTGGCACAACAGGGTAGACCTGCCTGGCCTACGGGCCATGGCTCGCGACTACTTGGCGATCCCGGCCACATCTGCTGCTAGCGAGAGAGCGTTTAGTCAGGGGCGAGGCATAGTGTCGTGGCAGTGCCACCGGTTGAGCGCCTCCCAGGTGCGTGCATCCATGACGATCAAGTCATGGATGACAGAGCACCAGGGTGAGCAGCTCCTGGGGCCGGCAGCAGCACAGGCATTGAAGGAGCTTTGCATCGAGGGTGAGGACTTTGGGTTGTGATGGCCTCATTTTGGAGAGGGGATGATGGAGGTTTCATGGCTGGCCGAAATGGTTGGGCTGTGTGTGTGATTTGTGCAGCCCTAGACTTGCAACATAAGGGCAAACTTCAGTGTTAGACACGACGTCCGTGCTACACGACGTCAGTGTAGTCACATATCAGGCTAGCAATTGTGTTTTACAACGCACAACCAAATGCTACTTGTTAGGGTAGCTCAATGAACAAAGCCACGTAGACACGGTCACCAAACAGTATAAAACCCACCTGGGTGACCCCAAACACATAAAATAAACCGACGGGTCCAAAAACCTGTTCCTGCCCTGCTATAACCCGACCCGACCCGACCCGACATCGGGTTTCTTTAAACCCGACCCTTCAAACCCGGGTCGGGTTGGTTTTTTCAGACCTAAAACCCGACTTGACCCGACCCGACCCGACCCGCACCCGACTTCGGGTGGGGCAAAGTCGGGTCGGGTCGGGTCGGGTCGGGTCTATGCTCAAGCCTACTCCCACCCACTCACCAGCCACATGGGTTTCCCTTGGTACGTGATGCCGATCCTCACAGCATCTCTCATGAGCCCCGGCTCCGGCCCTGTCAGCACCCTCTGCGACTATAGTGGAACACCCACCCTTCCTCCCCGCTCCCACCCACTCACCAGCCACATGGGTTTCCCCTGGTACGTGATGCCGATCCGGACCGCATCTCGTGAGCCCCGGCTCCGGCCCTGTCAGCACCCTCTGCGCACCCAGAAGAGAGTTGACCAGCGTTGACTTGCCCACGTTGGGCAGACCCGCTATGGCCAGCTGTAGCGGTATGTCCAGCGCCTCTGCTGCTGCTTGCTCTGCCTCTTCCTCTGCTGCTGGTGCTTGGGATGCATCTGCTGCTGCCATTTCCAGAGCTGTGGCAACGGCGGCAGCATCATCCACTGCTGCTGCAGAGCCCTCGCCATCTGGCAAAGACGCCGCAGATTCGCCCTGTTTTGTCAGCCGGCTGATTCCTGTGCTGCAGAAAACATCCGAGAGAGGACATGGAAGGTTTTTGAGAATTCTCAAAAACCAAAAACATCCGAGAGAGGACGTGGAAGGCAAAAACGCATCACGCTGGAAATCCGATGGGTCGCTCCTTCAGAGGCGCCTCAACAGCAGGCCCGGCCCAGGTCGTCCGTTGTTGCCCAGGCCCAGGCTCAAGCCTCACGCCTGTTTTGTGAGATGTGTTGGCAGGCCTCACACCTCAGCAGCTACATTGGAAAAAGTGTTGCCTCATTGCCTCTGTACTAGTGATGGGCGTGTGAGAAAACAGAGCAAAGGCTCTCACTGCTGCATATGGATTCGCACACGCACAAACTCCCTCACCTGAAACTGCTGACTTACTCCCTTCCCTCTCCTCCCTCATCTCCCTCTCCCTCTCCCTCTCCCTTCCCTCTCCTCCCTCATCTCCCTCTCCCTCTCCCTCTCCCTCTCCTCCCTCATCTCCCTCTCCCTCTCCCTCTCCCTCCCCCCTCATCTCCCTCTCCCTCTCCCTCTCCCTCTCCCTCTCCTCCCTCATCTCCCTCTCCCTCTCCCTCTCCCTCTCCTCCCTCATCTCCCTCTCCCTCTCCCTCTCCCTTTCCTCCCTCATCTCCCTCTCCCTCTCCCTCTCCCTCTCCTCCCTCATCTCCCTCTCCCTCTCCCTCTCCCTCTCCTCCCTCATCTCCCTCTCCCTCTCCCTCTCCCTTTCCTCCCTCATCTCCCTCTCCCTCTCCCTCTCCCTCTCCTCCCTCATCTCCCTCTCCCTCTCCCTCTCCTCCCTCATCTCCCTCTCCCTCTCCCTCTCCTCCCTCATCTCCCTCTCCCTCTCCCGCCCTCTCCTCCACTGGTCCCCTCACAGCAGCATGCAGATCCCTGAATCCAATCCCATCAGGCCCTCACTCACCTGGAACAGCCATCATTCATTCCTCCCACCCCTCCTCCTCCCCCGCTTCGATTAACTCTTACTTCCTCCTCTCCTCCATCTCCCTCTCCCGCATTTCCTCCCTCTCCCTCTCCCTCTCCTCCACTGGTCCCCTCACAGCAGCATACAGATCCTCAAACCAGCGCACATCAACGATCCCCCTCACCTGAAACAGACATAATCCGTTCCTCCCTCCCCTCCCGCTCCTTCTCCTCCATATCTCTTTCCCTCTCCTCCCGCATTTCCTCCATATCTCTCTCCCTCTCCTCCACTGGTCCCTTCACAGCCGCATACAGATCCTCCAATCCCTCCCCTGACTCAGCAGATATGGGTATCGGGTCCCCGAACCCCAGCGAATAGGCTTCCGCCACGTGGCACGCCAGCAGGCCTGTGCTGTCGCCACCCAGCCCCTCGCACTTGTTCGCCAGCAGCACCACCCGGTGCTTTGGGACGGAGCGGCGCAGCCAATCAGCGACCTCCACGTCAGCAGGTTGAATGCCAGACCTGCAGGAAGGGAGCACCCAGGTAGGGATGGTGGCAGGGAGGAGGGGAGGGATGGGGGGAGTGGAGGAAGGGGGGGGGGGCGGAAGGGGGGGGAGGGAAGAGAATAAGTAACTTTAGTGAGAAGGACAGGGGGAAGAGAGAAAGGGGAAGTGGAGAGTGCGATGAAGATTGGATTTTTACAGCGTCTTAGGGCACATCATCACTTTGAGTCGACTCAAAACGAAATTGAGCAGCACATCATCACCTCACCTTGTGAAGCACATCATCACCTCACCTGGCGTCCTAAGCGGGATTAACCAACCGAGATTGAATGGGGGTCATGCTGTCTCAACCAAAGCACTTCTCTTCACACCGCACCTGGCATCCACGAGAAACAGCACCGCCACTGCCTGCCCCAGCAAGTACGAAGTGATCTCAGCCGTCCGTTGCAGAATCGACGCCTCCATCGCCGCACGATCCGCCTCCCCTAAACTCTCCAGCAGGCTCGGCCCCAAAACCCTTCCCACGCCACCATCCCCCCCATCTCTTCCCCCCACCCCAGAACCAGTCTGTCCCTGGCTCTGCCCTTTGTGGGAGGCAGAGGTCGCGGGTTCGAGTCCTGCTGTGTCAAAGACTCGGAAGCGGAGGCCAAAGAAGGTGCAGAGCCCCTCCCGCACGTCCCTGGTCATGTGGCCGTGGGGGGTGTCGCACACCAGCGCCTCCCTGCGCCGCATGAGCCTAAGGTTGGGGAGGGAAATGGGGGGAGAGCAGGGGAATGGGGGGAGAGCAGGGGAATGGGTGGGGGAAGGGGAATGGGTGGGGGAAGGGGAATGGGGGGAGAGCAGGGGAATGGGTGGGGGAAGGGGAATGGGTGGGGGAAGGGGAGGGAGGATGCCAGAAAGAAGCCTGTTTTTGAGTCAACTCAAAAGCAGAGAGGAGCGTGGAAGAGTCGTCCCTGGACCCTGGTCATGTGGCCGTGGGCCGTGGGCCGTGGGGGGTGTCGCACACCAGCCGAGCGCCTCCCTCCGCCGCATGAGCCTGCAATGGACGGCAGGGAAGGGGACAGGGGAAGTAGGCATGCAAACAGGAGCATGGGAGGCACGTCCCTGGTCATGTGGGACATACTAACGCGTACGCCTCGTACGGGGTGTCGCATACTAACGCTTCCCTTCGCCGCATCAGCCTCAGAAGGGTTGAAAAGGGAGGGGGAAAGGGGGGAGAGGGGGGGGGGTTGTGGGGGAAGTTACATTTTCTGGGCGTGGCCCTTTAGGGTTTTGCCTGCTTGCCTGCTTACTTGTTGAACAGAGCTGACTTGCCGACGTTGGGTCGCCCTACGATCACAACGATCGGACGGCTGTCAGCCATCGCCACTACCGGCATGCTCGGCTCCTCCACCTCCGCTGCTGCACTCTCGCTACTGTCGCCCGCTGCGGCACCCTCGCTATTGTCACCCGCTGCTGCTTCCCCGTCTTCGTCTGGGGACACGGCTGACGCAGTGACCTCGGGATTCGATCGCGCCACGTCAGCACCATTCGAGCTCGAGTGGAATCTCGCCCAAGCGTGTACTGACGGCGAGGAGGAGCCATGAATTCCTGTTTCTTTAAGTCGAGATCCGAGAAAATCGCGGCTAGTTGGTCTATGGTCCCTCGAGTAGGCTGTTCCAGAAGCGAGGCTACGTGCGCTAATTGCGGAAGCTAATAGCGGATCACGAAAGGCGGCGGTGCTGTGGCTGCAGCAAGGAGTCAGTGACTTCTGAGCCGAATCGTACGCCAGCTGGTGACGCCATGGGAAGCGACTACGCGGCTTATAGCGAGGTTCGGGTGAAAATAACGAATCATGGTTGGTCGTTACTAAGCTCCGATGGTCGGTCTGGCGCGTAGCGCGAGAAACGGTTTGTAACGACGGCGAGGCGAAGACACGTGGGTTACTGTGGAACGACCGCTCAAGATGGCCAAACACGGCGCACCACGAGCGACGCCGTAAGTGGAAAGGCGACATGGCTGGCCAGAAGATAGCGGCACGAACTCATGGCCCCATCGGGGTCACGGAGGGAGGCAATGGAACGAGGCAAATAAAAATGTGGGCTGCTGATGTGAGCTGGTACAGTACAAGAAGACAAGGACTGGAGCGGCAGGTCAGCGGCAGAAGAGTAAACCTCTTTGTTGAAAAGGAAATATACTCCTTGGCCAAACCAACACGACGTGTGGTACAACAATCGAAGTTTTGTACGGTAAGCGAGTTGAATATTAGCGAGTTCCCAGCTCCCAGGTGGATGCACCTCCGTGTGTGGGCGCTGAGTCTGACGTGGCCTGCTTGGGCACCACACGACTGTGAATGAGATTCTGGAAGGTCGTGTTCGTAATTTAACCGGATTCAGCACAGGTCATTAGTGCGGTTGGAGCTTCACAACACTCGGAGGCCGTTTATTGGCCGTTCACAGTCCATTGGCCTTCCTGTATGCCACATGCATGCCCACGATATTCACGAACCCCCAAGACAGCCTGCTTGCAGTCGAAAAACGGGTAACTGATCCGGGGTTGAAAGCGAACCTCGAGAATAAGACTCGCCGAAAGATGGCAAGATACGGGCTAACACCTTGAACTTCAAATATCACACCTCGCCAGGAAACTGACACCCTTCACAAATTCCGCACCACGCTGCTGCGCATTCCCTGGGTCAGTTTTCGAGCTGCTCTCACCTCGCCTTCGCAGCTCGCCTACTCGTGTCGTCTTAGTCTACTCCTTCATACATACTCCTCCGTATCTCCACTGGGGACTGGGACATAGAGCATTGCGGGCGCACCTTGCTGCCTAGTACCAATGGCTGCTCTCGCTCCCACCTCCTCCCTGTGTCATTCCATTGTCTCCTCTACTGACGCGAAATTTCCATCCTCAGTGCGCGCCAATGCGCGCCTCGCCGCTAGACAACCTTCCACCATCCTCCCCGCACTTTCCGCGTCCCCTCACCTATCATCCTCCGCATCTCTCAACCTCTCCTCCCGGCTAATCCCCACACGCCCCTTCCATCACGGCCGTCAATCCACCCATTCCCGCGTCGCAGTAATCTCCGCCGCAGCCGCGAGCGACACCCCCAAAGTATCGCCGTCGTCGCCGTCGTCGTCGTCGAAGCCGCTAGAGCGCGTGCTCGTCGTCGGCGCGTCCGGCGGCGTCGGGCAGCTCTGCGTCGCCTCACTCCTATCTAAGAGCCTCCCCGTGCGCGCGCTGGTTCGCAGTGTGGAAAAGGCCGAGGCGCTCTTCGCGGACGCGCCGGCGGATTTGATTCAGATCGTCTCTGCGGACCTCCGCCAGCCTGGCACCATTTCCCCCGCGCTCTTCACCGGGGTCTCCGCGGTTATAGTGTGTGTTGGGACGACCGCTTTCCCCTCCAAGCGATGGGATGGAGACAACGGGCCAGAACAGACGGGTGAGTGTCCCCTCCCTCCCACAACCTGCTCTCTTCGCCAGAGTCTCCGCCGGAGTCTCCGCCGGAGTCTCCGCGGTCATGGTCTGTGTTGGGACGACTGCATTCCCCTCCAAGCGATGGGATGGGGACAACGGGCCAGAACAGACGGGTGAGGTCCCATGCTTTCTTCGCTCTTACAGGGGGGTCCACGGACCGGCGCCAGCCTGGCACCATCTCGCCCGCTCTTTACGCTGGAGTCTCCGCGGTTATCATCTGCGTAGGGACCACTGCATTCCTCCTCCAAGCGATGGGACGGGGACAACGGACCAGAGCAGACAGGTGAGCCTTCGTGAGCAGATGGTTTCATCTCGCCCGGACTTCTCACCAGCATTCCCTCGGCTATTGTCTGCGTTAAGGACCACTGCTTTCCCTTGCAAGCGATGCGATGGGGAAGTCTAGTTTTGAGGCGCCTCAAAACTGCTTTCCCTTGCAAGCGATGCGATGGGAACAACGGACAGGAGGGAACAGGTGCGTGAGTGATCATGCTTCTTTCACGCCTACTGGTGTATCCGCGGTTCTCATGTGTGAGTGGGCCATTGCCTTCGCCCTTCCAAGTGATAAATAAACCCCCCTTGCAACCAGGTCCATAATAACCTTCAGATATTCCCCTTCTCAACTCCCATCTCCCGCCCTTTCTCCGGACTACGTCGGAGGGAAGAACCTCCTAGCCGCTCTCCTGCGTGTCCTGTCTCGCCTTGTCTTTTGTCCCATCTGCTGGTGTCAACCGCTATAACCAGCTGCCGTACAGCATCCTCAACCCCTTCGAGGTGCTCTTTCTCCTCTCCCTGACTCTCTCCCCTTCCCTGCCCATTCCCACTTGGTGGAAGGCTCATCGGTTTCCTCCCTTCTCAACCACCATCATCCCTCCACCCCACTCCCGTCTTCTCCCGATCGATTCCCCACATCGGAGTGGAGAATCTTCTAGCAGCACGCGATGAAGACCTTTACGCCTGGTACTCATGTCTACAGCTGGAGTGGAGCGCTACAACCAACCCCCCTACAGCATCCTCAACCCCGTCGGAGTGCTCCGTCCCCTCTCCCTGCTTCTCCCCCTTGCCTGCTTATCCCCACTTGCTGCAAGGCTCATTCGTTCTTTCCCCTTTCCCCAAACACCCTCCCTCAACCCCCATCCAGACTACATCGGAGTGAAGAATCTCCTAGCAGCCCTCCCAAGCACCCTCTCTCGCATCATCTTTGTCTCATCCGCCGGCGTTGAGCGCTACAACCAGCTGCCCTACAACATCCTCAACCTCTTCGGGGTGCTCAAGTACAAGAAAATGGCCGAAGACCTCGTGAAATCCTCGGGCATTCCGTACACTATCCTGCGCCCGGGCCGGCTGACAGACGGGCCCTACACCAGCTACGACCTGAACACTCTCCTCAAGGCGACGGCCGGGATGAGAAAAGCTGTGGAGGTGAGGAGAGGGAGCGATACCCTTTCAGGGGAGACTAGCAGGGTAACGTTGGCAGAGTGCTGTGTGCAGGCGCTGGGGGTGAAAGAGGCCGAGAATGAGGTGTTTGAGTTGCTTTCCGTGGAAGGGGAGGGGCCGGGGAGTGATGAGGGCGCGTGGGAAAAGATTCTTGCCTCTGCTCCTGCTGGGAAGTGAATGGGGTAGGAGACTATTTCCCAGTAGGGGGTAGTATTGGCAGAGAGCTGTGTGAAGGCGCTGAGGATGAAAGGGGCCGAGAATGAGATGTTTGAGATACCAGGGAGAGATGAGAGTGCGTGGTCGAGGAAGACTCTTGCCCGTCCTCCTAGGAGGAAGTGGAAGTAGCTCGTTTCACTTAGATGGATTATAACTGTACTGGGAACGCAGCTGAAGTTGTAACTAGTAAATGTCACGGGAAGGGAAGGACCCTGGCCTGGATGGAGATAGCTGTAGGTGGAGGTGAATCTGCCTGGTGGATGGCCAGGCAGAAAGCTTTGGTGAAAAGTGAGACCACGTGCTGGGAAGATTCATTCCTACCTGATGGCTCTGGTCTGGTGGTGTAACTGCATGCTCTGCACAGACATGCAAACGCCCATCACTACTACCAATTCACTTTCAGCCCATTCAACAGGTTAGCTGCATTTCACTACGTCTACCACTAGACCTCGACCACATCGCATTAAAGATTCAAAAAGGGTGGATGCATGGAGCGGTGCGGAGAAGTACCCGCCGGGGCACAGCAGAGTGCATGCATGCATGCTCCAAAAGATACAACCCTCCAATGCCCAGAGATCAGCGCAGGTGCAGACCCCGAACATGCTACACGCTTATGGTAAAAGCAGGGCCAAACGCCACCCAACTCTGGGCAAAAGCATCGGCACCCAGCAAGGGAACAAGAATTGCTGCTGCAACACACAAACCAGAGGGGGAAAGGGGGAGACGAAACTGCCGGCTCCTCTCCCCCAAAAACACCGTCTGCTCCAGAGGTGTCCGGACAAAGGTGAGGCTCGCTGGGAAAGAACTCAAGGGTATCAAGCGCTGCTGCTGCTGCTGCTGCCGCCGTCGCCGCTGCTGCTGTTGCTGCTGCTGCTGCTGCCACCGCTGCTGCTGCTGCTGCTGCTGCTGCCACTGCTGCTGCTTTTGCTACAATCCCTTCGGTTCTTCCAGCAAAACGTGCTGCTTCTGGCGCTTCATGCACCAGCCGGGGGCATGAGAAGACCCCCTAGCACTGTAACCGGAGGTGGTGGTAACACCGTTACCATAGGGCGATTAGAGAAGGAACTGTCTATGAAGGGTTGCTACAGGTAACACCAGCTGTTGCTACATTGATGTGGCAGCAACGCTGGGGAGTGCAGATGCGGTGTGTGTGACAGAGCGAGAGAGGAGGTGTGGGCCAATGCATAAGGTGGAAAGTGAAGGAACCTAGGGGAGTATGAGAGGCCAAACGTCCTAGTGGCCAAGGGAGTAGAAAGAGGTGAGAGATCCCCAGAGGTGGAGGGGAAGCAGGACGCACAAGTAGGAGCGCGCAGGGAGGGAGGGAAAGGTGAGGAGCGGAGGGCGAGAACAGCTATGAGCGGAGGGCGAGAACAGCTATGAGCGGAGGGCGAGAACAGCTATGAGCGGAGGGCGAGAACAGCTATGAGCGGAGGGCGAGAACAGCTATGAGCGGAGGGCGAGAACAGCTATGAGCGGAGAACAGCTATGAGCGGAGGGCGAGAACAGCTATGAGCGGATGGCAAGAGGGAGCGGCTGGGAATGGAGCTAGACACCGACTAGGAGCGCAGGGCGAGCATGAGGCGTGGCGTGGGGCGCAGGTGAAGAAGCACCATGCCAAACCCAGGTGAACGACGCGAGGGAGGGGAGGAGAGCGAAGCTAGGAGGCGGAGGGAGGAGCTATGAGTGGCGAGACGGCGGCTAAGAGCGCATGGCGAGCTTGAGGCGGGGCGTGGGGTGCAGGTGCAGCACCATGAACTCAAGGCGCGTGTCGAAGTCAGATGGCATGTCAGGCGACATGGAGAACTGCAGGGGCCAGGGGACAGGTGGGGGAGAGAAGCGCATGGTGGAGAGTATGTAAGCGCATGTGATGAGCCGGTTTCTAAAGCGCCTCAAGACGCGTGCCGAAGTCAGAGGCATGTCTGGCGACATGGAGAACTGCGGGGACCAGGGGAGGGGTGGGGGGGGCGGGAGAGAGGCGCAGGGCGGAAGATGTTACGCAATGAGGCGTGAAAACGAGGGATTGATGTGTGGCATGCTGTTAGGTTAAAAAAAAATCCTAAGGGGGGATAAGGGCTCGAATGCAGGATGGGTGGGAGAGAGAGCCGCTGCCCCACACACGAACACACACACACACACACACACACACACACACACACACACACACACACACACACACACACACACACACATACGCCCCAAACACGAACGCACAGACACATAGGCCCCAAACACAAGGAGCTTTTGGCTCGACTCAAACCCACGTACATACCTCAAAGCGGTGCAGCAGGACGGCAACAGCAGCGCGGATGATCTTGAGCGACAAGCGCTGCCCCACACACGACCGCGCACCGGCTCCAAACACCAGGAACTGCGGGCCAGGCTCAGGCGCCACAAACTCATAGTCATGCCCCGGGACCATCTTTTCCCTCCACGGACTCGCACCCACTCCCCCCTGCTTCCCCACTCCCTCTTCCTTCACCCTCTGCGGCCCCTCCCGACGCCCCACTGCCCCCAGCCCCGTGCGAGTGTCCCTTTTGAAGGAGTGCGAGCGGGGGTCGTGGTACTGCTGCTTCTGGTGCGAGCCTTGCCAGCGGAAGTGGATGAACCTGTCCGGGTTGAATTCTGCTGCGTCGCTGCCCCACAGGATCGGGTTCAGCTGTAGCTGGTACGTCGGCAGTGCTAGTATCGCTCCAGACGGCACTAAATGGAAGCTGCTGCTGCTGCTGCTGCCGCTTCCGGCATCCTCAGGGCCCACCCCATCCCCGTTACCACCTCCCGCGCTACCATTACCACCCGTTTCCCAGCCTCTACTCTCATCCCCACCACCACTGCTACCGCTGCTGCCGCCGCTGCCGCTGCTACTGGCTATGGACAGCCATAGGTCCTCATTCACAGCAGCGCGCGTGATCATGGGCAAAACAGGCAAGGTTCTCGCCGCCTCATAGATCACCGCGTTCAGGTAATCCAGCCGCAGCAAATCCTCGTCTTTAGGCGCCTCGTTACCGCACACAGCGCGGATCTCGCGGAAAACGCGGTCCTGGACCTCGGGGTGGAGGGAGAGGCAGACTAGTACGCGTTTTAAGAGCGCGGGGATAAGCAGATAGCCGTGGAACATGAGCGCGGCTGCTTCGGCCTGAGCGACTTCTTGCGTGTAAACGGGTTGGCCTAAAGCAGAGCGTTCTGCTAGCATCGCAGAGAGGAAACTCTCTCGCAGTAACTGCGGCTGCTGCTCCTGCTCCAGCTGCTGCTTCTGCTGCTGCTGCTCTGCCTGGGCCTCCGAACCCTTGGTATCCCCACCACCACTGCTACTATCAGCTGCACGTTCCGATTCGTCAGATCCCTCACTGGTTCCCTGGCCGGTTCCCTGACCGTGCCCCCTTGGCTGCTTCACGTCCTTGGCAAACGAACCCGATACAAGCTGGTGGATCGCCCCCCTATAGTCCTCCGCCACGCGCATGAGCTCCCGGTACGCCGGTAACCACGCCGGGAGAAAACCGTAACTCGAAAAGTCCTGAACCGAGTGCGCGAAAAACTCCAGATCGTTCGCAAGGCGGTTTCGCAGATCCGAGTCGGGGAAAGCCGGGCCGAATAAAGACCCTCCTAAAACCCCGACCACCATGTCCTTAGACGCCTGAGTCACGTCCAGCTCGCCGCCAGATGCGGAGAGCGTTCCCCACTCCCGCGCGGTGACGGCCGCGACGCGGCAGGTCACCTCGTGCACCTGGAACTTGAGCGTCGTGTGGCAGTGGTAATCCAGGAACGAGCGCCGCGCGCGCGGCTGCGGGGATGGGAAGAGGGAAGGAAGGGGGTGGGTGGCAGCGTGGAGGGAATGGATGGTCAATGAGCCGGCTCAAATGTCACCTCGTGCACCTGGAACTCGAGCGTGTGGCAGTGGTAGTCCAGGGTCGACAGGCGCGCGCGCGGCTGCGGAGCGGACAGGGAATTGGTGGCCTGTGAGCGGACTTAAACTTCGCCGCGTGCGACAATAGTACCGAAGGATTAAGCGTAGAAAGGGATTTACCTGGGGAAAGGTTGACGACGGTCTTAGAAACTTGTCAGAACGAAAACAGAGAAGCTTATAACAAAAAATGTAAAAAATTCTTATTCTGAACGTAAAACGAGCTTTCTCGAAATTCGAGGAACGTACCTGAATGAAGGTGGAAAAGCAAGCAGAGTTTTCCCCGATACACGCTTCGATCACGCGGCAGTATAGCGGGGACCGCTCCCGTGCATGCATAAGCACGTTGCGAACCTGCTGCGGATCCTCCACCGATATAAGCAGCCTCACGGGATTCAGCCACAGCCGCACGACAGGGCCGTACTTCGCGTGCATGGCGGCGAGAACATCTGCGAAACGGCATGACGAGTTACACGGGAAGTGAGTCACTGAAGAGGAAACTAACGAGGATACGACGAAATCAACAAAGTGAATTTCCGGATTTCTTTACAGAAAGTATCGGCGTTTTTCCCGCTTTTAACCGAGCAAAAAACGCAGGCTGCTGATTTAAGGCTCGCTATAGGAGGGTAAGTCCTCCAGAGGGACCGAAAGAGATGGGACGTAGAAGCTTACCTTTCATGCCACTCATGCCGCCAGCGTCCTTAATCTCCTTAAGATTTCCCCAGAAGGACTGGCACTTAGGCCCTGGGAACTTGTTGCCGCGTCGCCAGTAAGTCAGCAGAGGGTAAAGCCATTTTACCAAACCGCTGACCAAAAACAACGCGGCACCGTAAAGAATAAGGCGTATCATCTTGATGTGCTAGTACCTGGAACATAGGGTAGCAAAAGGTCGTCAGCGCGGTCGAAGTGCAACGGACGTGCTAAGTGATCATGGAATATCGACTCACAAGGTAAATAATAGATGTACCCACTCGCAAATTCAAATCAGGCCGCAGGCGAAAAGCTAATCATGCGGATGCGTCGGCCCCAATCTGCGTGCCATCCACTCTACCACGTCCATAAAAATAGAAGCGACGAAAGTCAAGAGGTACCCTAACCTAACCTAACCTAACCTAACCTAACCTACGCGTAATCAATCGACGGTGTATCATCAAATAACCCCTACAGCTTGATCGACGATGCGGGAAACAGGCCAATCACAGCATATTGATACTAAAAGCTGGCAGTACAACAAAATCCTTTATTGGACTGCAACTGCTCATACCCACCACACACGCTTAGCTTACCTCGTGAAAGCTGCTGCTGCTGTAGCCGCATGGAGTCAGTTTTTCTGCTGCTGCTGCTGCTGTGGTTGGGGTTTGGTTGGGGAGGGTTTGGTTTGGGGGTGGGTGGGTGGGTGGGTGGGCCCTCCTTCCTCATTATCTTCTCTTTGCACCGGTCAACATTTTCGTTTGAAAACTCCCTGTCATTTCAAGGCAAATTCGAACTTCCAAGCGTTTGCGTGGAGTTTCTCGCAGGCGTCTTGTTACAGGGGACCTCACGGTAGGCGGTGAGATTCTGGGGTGCTTGCCTGCAGCGCTTAGACCAGGAATATCGTACAGCGTGTCTGACAGGGCACGTGACTCACATCCGAACCTGAGTAGAAAATATCGACACAGGACTCTATGTTCAAGGTTCTCCGGGTACACGAACCTGAATTCTCCGGGTAACCGATCCTGAAGAAAAATGGCCTGCCCCCAATTTCTCTCCGCTCCCAGCCTTTCTTCCCTCTCCCTGTGGGCCCTCCCTCCATCTCCCCCCACCTCCTTGCTTCCTCTTCCTTCCACAAACCCAAGCCCAACCCCCTCTTCCTCCCCCTCCCTCCCCCACCCCATCTCTCCCATGAAATCATGAAATGGAAGTCCTGCCGCGATGCCAGCGCAGAAAGTGGATCGGAAACTCGTTGTTGCTCGAACGTGCAAAACGTGGAACTCTGTAGCAGTCGCATTTCCTGCAACTGGCAAAATTGATTGGCCATCCCGGATTTTGGAATCTGGGCGACTATCCTTTTGTTCGAACACCTCGGCCTTTGTTGGCTACACGACGCATGCGACGCGTTACAGTATCTAGGTGCCACTTCTGTACACAACGAAGCAAACTTGGGGCCGTTGAACACGGACAAACCAATCACACGCAAAACTCGTCCGAACCAGGGCTCTCGCTAAGCCTAGGATATTCCGTTAGGTCACGGAATCGGCCGCAAAATTACCCGTTAGCAGACGGAATCGCCGAAAAATTACCCGTTAGCATACGGATTCGTCGAAGACGAATGCCCTTCACCACAGCTAAGGAAAATCCCTAGAACCCCCAGGAACTCTTTCTCGCACATACTACGTCTCGAGCGGTTTGGAAGAGTTAAAAAACTCCCCGCGAGCTAGCCCCTCTTTTTGCATAGCGGAGGGTTAGGGAACTGTAAGAGAAGTCAGGAAGGGGTGATACACCACTACGAACAGATTTACTACAAGTGCACTTACGGGTACAGATTTACGGAAACAAAGTAAAGTACCCGTAATCTCAAGGAATCACACGAGAAGTAGTCTATTAGGAAGAGGAATCAATCGAATATTACTATGCAAAAACGAAATAAATTCGGAAATAACTTTTAAATTTATTGATATTAGAGGTGATTGCCCTTTTAGCCAGAGCCCTGGTCCGAACCAACAAGGCAGGGCGATGTTATCCGGAACAGCAAGGCCAGTCTCGGTTTTGGGGATTGGGTCGCTTCTGTGCGAAGCCTTTGTCCTGGCGAAGGCGGGAACCACCTGATACGAGCTGGAATGTGACACACTATTGTCAGGCTCACTATTGTCCGTCTCACCGTATTGCTGTGGGTAATGTACTATTTTTATGAAGCGGCATAAAACAAAGCTATTAAAAGCTTGGCGAGTGCATTTTGTCCAATATGTGAAGGATCTTACGAGAGTATTGTAATTTCAGGTGGAATATACAACTGTGAGACTCATAGGTTGTACAACCAAAACTACAACCAATTCTGCACGTATCTGTCAATAATACAGTATTGGACCAGCTACTATGCGTCAACGCTTGACACTGCGAAGGTGAGGTGGAAGTATCTTGGCCGTCAGTCCGTGTATTCCTTCGCGAAGGTTGCTTTCTGGTTGGGGTGACTTGTGTGGCCTGGTCACGAACGCAATGGGCGTGCCGTGTAGACAGCGTCAGTCAGTTCACTGGAGAGGTCTAGGTTTTCGGAGTCCAATGTTGTGTGGTCAAATTGCAGGCGTTTTAGGACATTGTATGTCACCAGCAAAGTAGCTCTTGCATAGTGAATCAAAGGCACGCTAAGAAGCCCTGTACGGAACCCTCTGACTATCCGTTTCATCGCTCCTTATCGATCATTTCGGTGCCCTTTTGCAACGATCTATGGCTGGCGTTATCGTCGTCAACTCCGAGGCGCAGTGGAGATCGATCCTCGACGGTTCCAAGAATGACGGCAAAGTGGTGAGCTGCCAGCGTTCAAATTTCTATCAGCGTCGGTGCTGAGCCCCGATGAAGCTCGCGCTCCCATGTTTCGGGTTTCCTCGTTTTTGTGTTTTCTTACAACGGGGAATTCTTGGCACTCCTTTGTGCGTCCCGATGCTTCAGGTTATCGTAGATTTCACCGCGACCTGGTGTGGCCCTTGCCGGATGATTGGTCCTGTTTTTGCTCAATACGCGACTCAGTTCTCGCAGATCATCTTCCTCAAAGTGGATGTCGACGCTCTTCCGGTTCGTTTAACCCGTACTCCGTCCCGTTTTCACTTTTGTTGAGACCTGCTCACCATTTTCCTTTCATAGCGTACTTTTGAGAGTGCTAAAGCGTTGTCCCGACTGAACTTTGCAGAAAGTGGCAGAAGAGTGCGGGATTTCCGCCATGCCGACGTTTCATGTTTTCAAAGACGGGAAGAAGGTGGATGACCTTGTTGGAGCGAGCCAGGATAAGCTGCTCGCGTTGATCCAGAAATACGCCTAGGGTACAGACAGACGTAGTGGACACTCCAACTGCACGCACCTTTTCGTTCAGCTATCCGTATTGGTGTGGATGAAAAGGACGCTATGACTTCGCTAGCTGCTGAGTCAGGAGTTTCTGGGGAGGATTCAGCAGCCATCGACTAGAAAGGCAAACCCAGGGCTCTCTTGGTAACTGTGTTTTTTTTGGCCAGTCAAAATATTGCAATTCATTGAAATGACAGCTTAGACAATGTTCAAGTGAAAGAATGTCTAGAATAAAGCATACAAGGGAATACTAACAAACAGTGAAATTGATGAATAGTGAGAGAGAGTACACAAACATATACCTAAATGTTGTACTCTCTAGAAGATAACCCTATACAGTCTATACAAGCATGATAACTAAACATGTTTGACACACCCCCTGGACTGCATAGGGGAATGTTCTAGACAAGCAGCTCAGGGTGGCACTACTAGTCCAGCCTCTGAGACAAGGGTCTAAAAGACCAGTCAGAAGGAGTACAGGCAAGGCAAGAACTAGTACAGGGCGGCACTACTAGTCCAACCACTGTAAGAGGACACAAGTCCAGTCTGAGTGTACACACAGATATATAGGACAGTACAGAGTCAAGGCCCGAGTAAGTGAGAGACTACAGGAACCAGACCAAGCTGCACACAGTGCCGCTGATGATCGCGAGCGCCTTCGTAAAGATATCAGCTGTGTTGGCACCGGAGGCTAAGTGTACTACGCGAGCCTGGCGACGCTGCTGTAGCTCGCGCAGGAGGAAGTACCGCAGCTGGATGTGCTTCGCTCTGCCCTCGAGTCGAGGCTCCTGACACAGGAGGATCATGGCCCTGTTGTCAGCGTACAGGACCGGGGCAGAGCTAGGCCGCTCACCTAAGTCAGTGAGCAAGAAGGTCAGCCAGCGGAGCTCCTGTGCCGCCATGGCACCGGCGTAGATCTCGGCCTCACAGCTGGACTGGGCAACAGACGAAGAGCGGGTAGCTCTCCACGAGACAGCACCTGAACCAAGGCTAAAGCAGTAGCCCTGGGAAGACCTGAGCGTCTCCGCGTCGTCTGCCCAAGAAGCGTCTGTGTGTCCAGTAAGGACCACTGGCCTGCGTCCGCCTAGCACTAACCCCATGCCCGATGTACTTGCAAGATAACGCAAAACCCTCTTAGCGGCAGACCAGTGCTGAGGTCGGTGCCTGCCTGTGGCCACGAAACGAGCCAGGATGCTGAGAGGGTATGCGAGATCTGGGCGAGTGCAAGTCATCAGGTACATGAGGCAACCCACTAGCTCAGCGTAAGGACCACTGGGATCTACCGACTCCTCAGGAACTGGAGCGGAGAGTCTGTGGTCCAGAGGAAGAGGGGTGGGCTGTGCGGAGGAGAACTGAAGGCCGAACCTCTGAAGGACCTGGCGCACCAAGTGTGACTGAGTCAGGGTGATGGTGCGCGCGGCTCTGTCCCTGGAGATCTGCAAGCCAAGGTAACGGCGCAGCTCTCCAAGGTCAGTGCAGGTGTGTCTCTTCAGCAGCTCTGCCTTCACGGAGGCCAGTGCGTCCCTGTCAGCAGTGGCAAAGACCAGGTCGTCTACGTAGACGAGGATGTAGAACGGAGTCGAGCCAGCACGAACGAAGAGCGAGGGGTCTGCAGAGGACGGAAAGAACTGCAGGTCAGCAAGGGTAGCACGCAAAGTGTCGTGCCACTCACGAGGCGCCTGGCGCAGGCCGTAGACTGGCCGCCGCAGAAGCCACTGGGTCCCAGGGGGGAAGGTGCCAGTAAAGCCCTGAGGGCGACGCAGGTAGACCTGCTCGTGGAGGCTGCCCTGAAGAAAGGCAGTGGAGAAGTCGAGGGAGTGAAGCTCGTAGTCACGCTGAGACGCTACGTGTAGCAGCACCCGAAGAGTAGTCATCTTCGGGGTAGAAGCGAAAGTCTGAAAGAAGTCCACCCCCTCGCGCTGACTGAAGCCTCTAGCCACGTAGCGCGCCTTGAACACAGGCGGCTCTCCAGGAGATCGCTTCACCTTGAAGAGCCAACGGCCATCGACCACGTTCACCCCAGGTGGGGGAACTGCGTCGACGAAGGTGCCGGTGGATCTCCAAGATGCCATCTCCTGCTCCATGGCAGCTATCCACTGAGAGGCCCAGGGTCCCGAAACCGCCTCAGCGTAAGTACGAGGGGTCGGGATGTCGAAAGCGTCTGGGTCACCCTCAGGGACTAGCAGCATGGAACAGAGATGGGGAGCAGCCTCGGACAGGAAAGCAAGCTCAAACTGGCGGTCCTCCA